GACCGCTAAAGGCTTTGTGCTGATCCAGACGAAAGAAGTGTCGATGCGGCCGGAAGATGTGAAGCGAGTGTTTCAGAGGGACGCGGATGACCTCACGGAGTGGATCACCAAAGGTAAACTCGCTCCTTCCTCACTGATCAGCTGATCAGGAGCTCTTTCGTACTGACCAGAGAGTGTGTGTCAGTCAGTGTGTGATATTTGTAATCACACTCTCATTCATTTATTTATTACATATTTGGGGGACAGCAGGTAAAACACCTGAACAGATACAGCCATTTACGTCAATTTGTATTATAACACTCCTGGTCATAAACTGTATGTAAAAGATTGACATGACTTCAGTGATGTCACCTGGTGGTTTTGGACTGCACATTTTAGCATCTAAAGGTTACTGTTGTTTCTACAAGTGACCATATTCAGGTGAGAGGGTGGAGCTAATGCTTGTCCACAGACTGTACAAGTATATCAGTCTGACATAGATACCTGCTAATCAGTAACGTCCAATCGAAATTCTGTAATTTCACTTAGCAAAGTTGGAGTTCAGCCTTGTTGGATGCTCTGTCACTACTGTGACCTCACAGCAGCCATGTTATTGGTCACGTGATGGCAAATAAAAATGCTCCAAAAGGTTCCACAAGCACAAACACAGTCCACAGGTCCAGTTCAGGTGAAGCTAGCAGACAGCTGTCCACCTGTCAGTCAAAGAGGCTATGCATCTAACAATGCAGACAGGCGACTTATAAAAACAACTGTTATGAAGGGGGAAGTTATGTTTGTATCAGGCTGACTCACAGGTGGAGATGGGGCGGTGGTGCTGTCGGTGTCCTAAAGGTTTGACTGTCGTGTTTTCCCTGAAGGCCCCGTCATTGCCCTTGAGATGAACGGGGACGGAGTTGTTGAAGCATGCAAGAACATTGCCAGTGAGGTGTTCAGCGGGACGAAGGTGAGAGCAGCGCGGTCCCGGCCCGATCCTTATGGCTTCACTCTGCATTTTCGAAGATGTCACATTTACTGCTATTTTTTTGTCTTGCAGCTTTTTGTCTCCGACAACAAAAACACGTCGTCTCAAGACGTCGACAACTTCTTCAATTTCGCCGACATGCAGATGGGCTTGTAGGTGATGTGATGTCACAGTGACTCCGCCCTCCACGCCGTCCAGCTCGGACTAAACTGATGGTCCTTCTGTCCTTAAAGAGTAGAGGAGGTGAAGGAGCGCGTGATGAGCTTGGGTCAGGAACCCCGCTGCACCTTCATTGCTCATAGCTGTGAATATTTATATCGCTCCGAATGTACTCGGTGATGTTGCTTCATTGTGAATGTAGCTCTGTGCTGAACCTGTAACCTGACTGTAGTTCAAGCTGCTGCACGAGGGATGCTCGCGCTGCCCGAGAGAGCCAAGCCCTCTTTGTGTGTCTGACCAGGGTCTGTGTGTGTGTTAGAGAGAGGGAGTGTGAGAGAGA